ACATACTTCAGTCAGTCATAAAGCTCTTATAAATTCTTGCTGTTTCTTCTTCATTTTAACAGAGCATTGCATACACAGTTTGTACCATTAACAAAAAAGAAAGGAATTTAACATCTCTTTAATGCCAATTAACCTCTCACATCATTGGGGGGGGGGGGGTGGAGGGGGAAGAGAAACTTACTTATTTTTTCCTCTTATTTAGGTTTTCTTATATACAAATTTCCAAAGACAGATCTATTTGCTGCTTTGAAAGACAGGATGCTTGCCTTCCGACAGGCTCTCCAAGAGGGTAGAGCAGCTGCTAGCTCAGAAGCACTGTGCACGTGGATGCCCAGTACAAGCGATAAAGACAACTGAGATTCTGGCATCACTGCTCAACTCAAACGAGAGCTTTATGAACACAGCAGTGGACTAACAGACAACTACTATTAAAGGTTTACCTTTCTTTTATTCTGCTGATGGGTTTTTGGGGGGCGGGGGGGGTGGGTTTTTTAGGGGTCATCTGGTTTGGTTTTTTGTGTTTGCTTGGGGTTTTTTTAAAAGCTCTTTCCCCCCTGTACATTTTAGTTGATTTCTCAAACAAAAGTTCAACTCGAAACATCTTGGGTGAGATGGTTTAGTGTGAGGTGTCCCTGCCTATGGCAGGGGGGTTGGAACTGGATGATCCTAAGGTCCTTTCCAACCCTAGCTATTCTATGATTTTATGAAACTAACTGCTGTATATAACCTGATTGCCTGGTATGAGTTAACAGCTCCGTAGATGGCTGGTTGCTAGACATTTTAATAATCCCGTGAACAACTTGAAATGCGAGTCAGCAAAGATCACATGAGCCACAACTGCTAGCAGCAAGAGAAACAGTCAGTTCCCACAAGCAAAGGTACCACATTTTAGAACTTCTAATCTATTTCTTGTGGCTCAATTAATAATGATTTCATAGATCATAATACTCTTATTGCATTCCTAAATCAAGCATCTGGTGCAACCTGGAACATCTGTCATAATATAATTCTCTTCAGGGAAAAATAAACAATAATTCAAACCCAGCAGTGACAGAGTGAAATACACACGCCTTTCAGGGCTTTTTCCTAAATAGAGCTCACTAATAGATACTAAAGTAAAATGCCAGAATATCAGAATGCATCTGTTTGTCTTGGTTTCTTTGAATTCTGAAGAGCATGGTCTTACACTGCTTATATTAAAGCTCACTGATCTATAGTTAGCCATAATACAAAAGAGACAAGAACTTGTTAAAGAAAGAAGAAAGGATTCCATTCAGTTAAGTAATAACATTTATTGCTTTCATCTCTATTAACCACAATCCACATAGTGCAAAAGAAAAGATGATAAATCCAGGGAGATTGCTGGAATCAGGTGACAGAACCTCGATAATACTAGGAAAGGAGGAGCTGGGCAGACCTTGTCCTTGCAAAATTTATGCCTGCACAGTGCTTACTGAGGAAAAAGACACTTATTCATTAAAAAACAGTTTTGCACCTACCCCATCTATGTAACATTTGTTACCGTTAAGGTTCAAAATATGTAAAAATCATGCATCTATTTTAAACAAACGCTCACTAAGGATGTCAAATGACTGACACCTCCTTTACATTCATTCATTATCAATAGAAAGTACTTAATCTTTGTGCAAAATATTAACTGCAAAGGGGGGTGACAGTAACTGTGCACAAGGTGGTATGTCCAATAAAGTCAATGGCAGTGTTGTCTCTGCCTATCTCAGACCAAGGAAAGCACAGTTGTTAGTAAGATGGGGGAAGTAACTCAATGCTCTCTCAGAGAAAGGGTAAGATACATCAAACCTTCAGTGCTATGCCTTTTTAGTCACTCATCTTAATTTTGCTTTGAAGATGCCACTTTCTGCATAACTTTTCAATTGCACAAAGAAATTACAGCTTGGCTGAATCACATGCAATTGGAGCTAATATCCATGCTGAACGATCAATTAGCATGGCCCCATCAAATATCATGGCCCTTGCATTGCTGCATATCACATGCTGTCACATGCATTTCAAAACAGAGGAAGAGACAACATTGGCAATTGTTACTAGCTGCTTATTTTTTAATGAGAGCAGCTAGTAAAGCTGGGGAACACTGTTTCCCAAACCCAATTTGCTGGCAAATATCTGTAAATCTGAAAAAGCTTCTGAAGCATGAATACTTTGATTTTCACAGTTTAGAAAAAGAAATGAAGTTTGTGGATTATTTGAGGAACAAGACAGTCTGCTTTTTAAGAAAGTAAAGGGAATAGCTTACAAACCATGCAAAGAATGTCTTGATCTAAACTGGGCATGCTATATCTGAAAGTGGTTATGTAAATGAATCTGGGTAACTTGCAACCACATGGAAAGATTAGCTAAAATGCATTATACAGCCACAAAAAAAAACAGAGATTTTTCAAAGAACACCACTTCTATGAAAAAAATAAATATTTGTAAATAAAAAGAAACTAAAAAAAAAAAATATCAAAGGAATTAAAAGAAAAAATACATCACTAGATCAAAATAAATATCACAGACACTATCATAATTCTGCTTGAGTGCGTCACAGAACTTAACAGAAATGACTTCTCATGTATTTTGTGTAATGGGTGTGTTGGAATAAGTGAGTTGTATAAAGAGAGCATCTAAAAAGGCACAGGTTACAGGAAATGCAAATAGAACTGAATGCCGTTAGTAGAGCTCACATTGACAAGAAAAGCAAAAATAATTATGTTGTACTTAGCTACTGAACAAGACCTTCAAGTCTAGTACTGCTTCAAAAAATGTTCATAGAGCTGTCAGTTCCAAATACTTATTATTGGTAAGCAGAAATAAATAAATACCCCCCCCCAAATCATTTATATTTCAATTTTGAAAAAAGTTTAAACTTTTTTTTTTTAACAGAAATAATCACATGACAGAAGAAGCTTTATTCAGAGTGAATTTCCAAAGCTAAATTGGATTAGGGTAGATTTCCATTGCTAAGCTTAAAAGAGAAATGTATTTTTAAATTCTTCAGAATATAGTTCCTGAATGAAGATCTTTTGTATACAGTGGTTTTGTACAAAATTTATCAAGTCAGAGCATCACTGCACAGACAGCAGGATTCTTCTTTATAAAGCTGTCTTTGATGATAAGCAAACATTTAGCTTGCTGGGGCATGTTAAAGATATGGATAAATTCTAGGTCACTGCTCTAAGGAGATCAAAAAATTGAGCCTTACCATATAGAAGCGCACAGTATCATTCAAGTTGTTAGACTTGAATTTGATTCCTGTCAGTTTACCTTTTACTCTTACAAGCTTCTTTGATGTACATGACAATCCATCAGGCAATGTGTGCTTTAGAAGCTAGAAATCCCTTCTTTGAAGCTTTAAGTGAAATAAATCAGCTGTCAAGCTTCAGGAACTCTGTTTTTTCCTAAGTAGATTTAAATGCCTGCTTAATGTTCAAACCATAAAATGTCTTTTCTTTGCTACATTTAGGTTGCAAGTAAAATGAAAGTTGTCTTTGTCCCCAGTCACCTCATTTTAAATGCAAACCCCTGGATCTTTAAAAAAGTTATTGACCAAATGCAAGATATTTCACTGAGATAGCACAGATTTAGTTAAATGCATAAAATATGTACAAACTAACAGCCAAGAAACAAAACGCAGAATGCCAAAGAGCACACACAACCCATTTATTTTTTGCCTCTTTCCAAGCTTAATATACCTGAAGAATGTATGGAGTTTCAAGTCTGAGCAGCAGCAGCTCAGATTGGTTTCTCCCCCTTACTTCTGTACGCCAGTAAATGTCCCCTCCCACCCCTCTGCCAAAGTTTAATGGAAGAGAGTGACCAAATTCCAACCACCTTTGTTCACAGTCTCCTGACTATCACAGCGTTGTGGGGTCAGAACAGGGCAAACCATGCCAGTGAAAGCTAGCAGCTCAGACTTTTGGTCTATGACTTATAATTCAGGAAATGGTACATATTGAAGGGAGAAGAGACTTGAAAATAGGTTATAATAAGAGATATGCATGGAAGAACCTAAATCTGAGTTTCCTCTCTGCCTTAGGCAGATCTTTTAAATAATACTAACAAGTCCTTTGTTCCCTCTTGGACTGCCAAATTACTTAATTTTAGGAACTACTACTCTTCAAAAACTGTCTGCCTGCCTCTCAGATGTTTTGGGAGAGACATGGCAGCCATGTGGTATGTAAGGCTCATGACACAGAATTTAGCCATTCCGAAGACAGATTATAATCCAAGTTTCTCACCAACAGGAGTTACAGCTCTCCAGCTGCTGTGCTAGTGCCCTAATGCATCTACATTATTATGTAATTACATTAGTAATTGCAACTACAGCAATGCTTTGAAGGAAAGAGAGGCTTAATTTCTGAATCTTGGAAATGTTTCCAGGAATAGTTTGCTAAGGGAAGAATATTTTGACAATATTAGAGACTTACACTCAAGATGAGCTGTTCAATTCTGCTAATGCAGAAGTTCTGGGTATGCACAGAGGCAGAACATTAAGCAGCTAGCAAATTTTTGTGCCAAAAGTTCAGGGAACTATATACTTAGGAATGCACAAGTTATAAAGAACATACTAATGTGTTTTAGCCCCTTAAATATTTCCTGTGTCTTACTAGGCACTTCAGTGTTTTGTGCAGATCTATGTTATTTCATAGGCAACTCGTGTACCTTTTTGTATCTCACTGAAAACTGGCTGCAAATGAAACACAAGAGCAGAATTTAGACGATTCACAGTTGAATCAGTTGATGGACTACTGCTGAATACTTTTCTCTACCAAGCTATGGCATAAAGATGTAATTTTTTGACATGTATTTTTCAAGTCTTGTATGACTTCTACTTACTGAAGTTTTTCGATTTTTGTTACAAGCTCCATTTAAAAAACCAAAAACAAATCAAAACCTGTGAACTGCCCCACTATATTTGTGATATTATATGCAATATGTAAGAAACAATACGTTACTGCAACCAGAGCACATAAAGTACTTACCAATATTAATTTCATCATCAGTTTCAGCATCTCCAATACACTCAAACTGGAAATCTTGTAAAGACTGTGAAAATTTTTGCACTGCCATGGATAAATCTAGAATTCAAGAACAAGGGTGGGGGGGGGGGGGGGGGGAGAGAAGAAAATCAGAATTACTGTACTACAACTTCACTAGAACAAGGCTTCATGCATTTCTGCATGAATCATTTTTTCTCTTTACAGAGTTTCCTTCCTAGTACATTTTTGGACAGTAACTTCATTCAAAAATCGCCATTACCATTTCAAAAGCAAAGTACTAGAGATATTCCAGAAACCTATGAAACACACTGATAGTCAACTTCAAACATTAATAAAGGTAATACGGTAACAACTGAAGAACTGTTATAATTCTTGAAAAAAGATGAAATTAGCATATGAAATAAATGTCTAGTGGTAAAGTGCGTATGTAAGTAGACATGTTTAAAATAGGGCAAGATTAGCTTGCAGATTAAAATAAAGCTCATGACAGTTCATTTCATGAACATGAACAGTATCAAAATAATATATTCTAACTGGTCTAATACTCTAAAACACTATACAGTATTACCTAAAAGCTGTGTAAAAAGAAATTAAAGTGAGAAAAAAATAAACACAAGTGCTTGGCAATCAACCATGTTATCCATGGATTATGAGCATTATTCTCACTTGAATTACACAGAGCGGACTTCTGGATCAGAGAAATGTCAAAGTAACCCAAACTTCATAGCATAAAATTTGATCAGAATTGTACACATTCCAAAAAAAATAATAAGTAACATCACTAATACAGAATATTAGGGGAACCACATGAAACTATTATTTTCTTTTTGGGGCACACTATTGGCAAATGCAGAGATGAATGTGATAATGAATGAACTCAGTCAATATTTAAACCCACTACCCAGCCCAGCCCAGATAAGACCAGGCAAACAGCAACAATTCTCTGTGTCATAGAGGATGTATCTACAGTATCTATTCTGAAGCTGCAAAAACTGGCAATTAGGATTCTGATATCTGCTAAATCTAATCAAAGGTCACAGTAGAGATAAATTAGGAACAAAAGGCAAGTCATAAATTCTGTTTTAAAAGCAATATGCATCTGTCTCCTTTCCTGGGAACACTCAAAAAACGTCTGGACATGGTCCAGGGCAACCAGCTCTGGGTGGCCCTGCTTGAGCAGGGGAGTTGAATCAGATGACGTCCAGGGGTCCCTCCCCACCTCAGATATGCTGCAAGTCTATGATTTCCTTAACCTTCTCTTACTGTAAAGCCATAAACACTCATTTGCTCAAGGGTGGACACAAAATTAGAAGGCTCACGTTTTTCCTGTCAGAAATAAAACCCAGCATATAAACAAACAAATAGGCCTAATGCTCTAAATCAAGACACACACACACAAAGTGTGATTTAAACTTGAGCAATCTCAAACAGTAAGAACCACCCACTATCCTAAATGAGGTATGGGTTGAAAATCTGTCAAAGATCTCCAAGAATCCACACAATAAGATGACTAATTTCTTTATTTTTCAATTAAAGGTAACCACAATCATGTGACAGAATCTCTACCAGGATTTTGTCCTACCACTGTATTTACTCAGTGCCTGCTGCTTTCATATTTTTACATGCAGCTGCAGAGTACATCAGTCCAACAAGAGAACCAGCAGTCTTTAGGAAATAGACCTGAACAGATTTTCTTTTGTATTAGTAAAGAATTCCATGTGTTTATCTGATACATAACTAGGTTATAAAGGATTAGGTAAACAAAATCTGTATCTTTTTGATTAAAAGCATGTAAAACAGGAAAGAACGCTCCCCAAAATTACTGCATCCTTACTGAACATTTCCTACTGTGCTGTAAATGAAGACTGTATTATTAAATGCATTACCAAATTAGATTCTAAACACAAAGTGTTTCCTACTCTTTGCGTACATGAAAAAAATAGATCTTCAGAAGATGAACCACTCCATTTTATGCAAATACAGTAGCATCTTTGGTATCTAAGTAACTGATTGCTCTACAGCTGTTAGAAAGACAAACTTTAATTTGTTCACAGCAGGATGCTTTCTGTTTAAAGGAAAGAAACAACAGTTTTATTATTGGCTCTTCCAGCAAGTTACTACACTGGGTACTAAACCCTTCTATGAAATTGCTGCATACCAACTGATGTCAAAACCAATATGGCCCTTAAGTTGATCGAATGAAAAATATTCTATATTGCAAGTACACTGAAATGTAAAAATTCTCTCTCACTAAAAGGAATACAGATTTATTTCCTCTGGACAATCTAATAGCTGCCCACAATGGCCAGCATCTCTGTGAACGTGAAAGGAAATGAGGAAGCGTGGACTCTCCCCTATCACTCTTCAACACGTGCAGGGCTCAGTGGAACAAATGTCAAGGGAAAGGAAAACAAATGATAAAAATATCCAAGGTGGAGTCTCCATTTTATATCCTGGATTAGTCATACACAGATGCTCTTTCACTGTGTCAGCAAATCATACCGTGTTAATGCTTTTATGTTTTGAACCTGGAGGAGGCACCTAAGAAATAGTGGGTCTAAAAAATGTACTTAAGAATTACAGAGCTCATAGCTTGATAAAAATGTCCAGAATTACAACATTTGGAGACTTCTGCCTCTAATATCCTAATAGCTTGAAAGTATTAGAAGACACTGTATTATACCATATTCTGTTATTCTGTGACAGTAAGGTTAAGGTGTTCAGTGTAGCAAGGAATAAAATGAAGTTCCAGGGCCAGATGCTTCCTGTGACACTAATTTACAGGTTCTGTATAAAGTTAATTTTACCTGAAAAATATAAAAAATATTCTACAGAAAATTCCAGCTTACTTGGACAGCTGTCTAGAGGCTGTACAGAAGTTACTCTGTAAGGATTCAAAGCTCAACATCGTAGTTGAACCACCAACACTGGACCAAGCAGTGCCATTAGTTATATTCATCAATTTCTTTCTTAGAAGCATCATCACTTTACTTGATTACAGAATTCATCTAGTCCCAAAAAGGACTAGCTGTGCAATAAGCAGGCCTTCTTTAAGAGATAAAAAAATTCAAAACTGAATTAAATCAGATTTAGGAGCAACCACCTCTTCAATTAAGAGGAGGCAAGTGGTATCACTAGGATCTTACCTTGTCTGGACAAAAAGGAAAAATGATAAGAACAGACACATGGAGCAGAGACCTTGTCCAGCTTTACAAGATGTCATTTATCACTGTATGTCCCAGAATCTGAATGTCCCCAAGAGCCCTGAATACATCCTGCTCCTTCCAGATGTAGGAAGGTAAATCACCACACCAAACAAATCAACTTTTTATCATATGCAAGATACGTGGCATTACAAAAGTCACTCTTAATTAAGCTTATAGCATAAACATTTTGATAGTCATATCCTCTTTTCATGGAGTACACAAACTAGGATATTCCACTTAGCTAAGGACAGAAATTCTCTTCCAAGCCGAGTCAACTTACCTTCTAAGTTACTATAAAAACTTGATCAGCTTTATTGACTGACAGTGTAAGTCTACCGTCCAGGAAAGGATGGCTACTCAAAAAATCTCTGTAATACCATAAGTACTGTTACCCCTGCTCTTCTGCAGGCACTCAAATAGAGGAATCTCTCTGGGTACCAACAAAAGAGTTAAAAGGCACCCCATTATTCCTCAGTTGCCAGAGGGCTGAATTTCTAACCAACAATTCTGTCAGCATTTATTTTCTAACAGTGTTCACCTGCACCTTTTGTTCCCTTTTTTCCCCCAGGAGGGTTCAGTTCAGTTTTGCAGTGAAGCATATAGTCAAAAGAAGCCATCTACACACTACTCGCAGTCAGTGGAAGGAGATAACTGGGACAGAATTGCCTGTTTTAGTTAAGAGCTGAAGCAACTTAACTGGCCAGCAAGATTTTTTTCTGTGGAGCTCCGATAGGGGAAGTACTAAAAGAAGCATACTACAGTGTGACCGGAAACAATAAAAGGATAATTGCAGCTTAACCACAAGAAAGTAATATAACAGCAGTATTAAATACGGATATATATAATACCAACCATCGGCATTATAATGCTAATGCAAGAACAATGAAAATCGTCATCCATTCAGGAAAGTCACAGGGGAATCAGGAAACATGTTACTCTATTGTATCTCTTCCTGAAGTTCTACATTTTTTATCCATCTGCTTCACACATATTTACCCAATAAAATATGGAAGAAAACTCTAACCTAGAAGTCATTTTTGTTTAAGAATCATTTTGTTTTAAACTGCTAAAAGAGAGGATTTGATCTCAACTGTAATTTATTATTTTAGGCTTCAGATAGGGCCTTACATACTGTATATAGGATGATAAAAACATGATGCAGTCCCTCTGTATTACTAGAATTGTTCTAGAACAACTTTCTTGTCCTAGATTTGTTAAACACATCATAAAACAAATTCTTACATGGAGCCTTGAGGAGTAGGAGCAATAAAACAATGAAACGATAGATGCTATTACCTGAAAACTGAAGAACAAGTATATTAGTTTTGGCACAGCCCACCACAATAAGGATCAAGCTCTACAGATAAGGAAACTTGACAAGATTTCTACAAGTTAGTGAGCACAAGGAACTTTTTTTGGTCTGTGTAGGAAGGCTGCTGTTTGTTATTGCCAGTCTGATGGCTGGGTTAACAGAAGAAAGCCCAAGCTTTTGGTAGGAGACAAACAAGCTCCAAAAGCAGAAACTTTATGTACTTGCAAAGGCCCATATCTTTACCCTAGTAATAGCCTGCAAGAAACTGTTCTTAGCAAATACATCAAAGCTAAAGTCTTTCCACTTGTTTACTTACAAAGATGACTTAATTAGCAAATGGAGTTCCAATAACCAACACTTTTCCCTACTGTTGTCAATCATCCTGGAAAAGCTTAGTATTATTCACTGGGTTAATAAAGAAAAACAGCACTTGAAACCTAGTGAGAAGATTAAACATGTCCAAATGAACTCCTGAGCGCTAGCTGGAATGCAGTAAATGGGACTTCAAACAACAAACGCTCTGGCTAAAATAGAACAGCAGCGTATCTGGTGATCTGACA